CACTGAGGGTATTCGATAAAATCTAATCCCATTATCCCGGTCACTTCTACTTCCACATTCAAAAACAATGCAAAGAACCACTCTCAGGCTTACTTTCGCACTGTGACCTCTCTATTGAGCCCGTTGGTTTGGGCACCAACATGGCGGATAGCAACCGTCGTCAAGACGGAGGTCACGTGGGTGAAAACCAAGAATAAGCGCGTATTCATTAAAAGAAAAAATGCCGGACAATTTCTTCGTGGCATGAAGAAAACAAAATCTATAACTAGCTTTTTTAATAGGAAAAAAGGTGATTTAACTTTAAGGGCGATTTAATGAGATGAAATAAACTGCTGTCATGTACTTCATCTATATTCAAATGTCGGAGGTACTCAGAAAGTATTTATATCTGTCCAATTAAAATAATAGGCTGAACAGACTAAATAATATATCTCGCAGTCACTGCGAGAGGGCAACGGGCTGGGAAACACATAGGCTTCATTTTATTCGCAGCCGCCGTAACACAAGGCGGACATTTATGAAATTATTTATCCGTGTATTAGAGCGCTTTTCGATTGCGTGACGTAAAACCAAAGCCAATCACACAACAGCCAATCAGAAAAAGGTGTATTTCACAAAGAACCAATGAGAGCTCAAAACCAATTGAAGCGCGGGAAAACCCGAGTGAGCAAGTCGCGAATGGTTTTGGTTTTGAATTTGATTGGTTGAAACAGTGGCGCGAGTTTTGTTAGACCAATACTGGAGCAAAGTGAAGGAAAACCAACACAATCCCAGATTACTTTCGACACTCAATCGGAGATTGCTCCTAACGCTCAAGCGTACTTCTCTTCTTTTCGAATTATACAAAAAAAAAATTGCAATGGTTATGCCGAAAGCATACCAAATTTGCCAATATAATTGGACAATTATTAGAGGTTCAAAATATTAACGCTGTCGAAATTAGTTTTAATCAATTCCAAGCAGAAATGATCTGAACAACATGGTACACCGACTTCGAAAAAACATGAACCGACGGACACATTTTGAGTAAAACTAATTTCCGAGTCCACTGTACTAGGTCTCTTGTATTTAAAAAAAAAATGGAAAAACAAAGTGAAAACGGACTTTTCAAACCATTGAAATACAACGACTATGTGGGGAAATCGTTCAATTCACCGATATTTCAGAACTGTCAAAACCATATTCTCTGTATTGGCAAAAATATTTCCGAGGCAATGCAAATTACTGAGGGAAACTTTGCTTCGAGCACTGGAAAGCAGGTGAAAAATATAATATTCCGTCTCACTGTAACGTGATGAACTTGATAAAGTTTTGAACATGAAAATTGTACCTTGAAAGTAGCCTCCAAAACTCTTTAAACCGAAGTAATTTTTTTCGTGACACCAACAAACCGCATGAGATAAGAAAAGAAAAGTTGTGAACTCACGGTTTCTAATAGTCAAACGAAAATTCAATTGCAGACAGAAAAGTAAAGAAAGCTAAACTGAAAGCGTTTAGCAAACGTTTTCGCTGAATTGTATGAGTAATGTGATTTTATTGACTTCGACGATGCTCCAGCAGTTTCTTTGGCATCCGCGTAAACATTACTGAGGCTTTGTTAATTAAGCTTGTCGCTCATTGGTCGAACACACTTGTTATTAAATCAGATATTTCTTTACAACCCCCGTTGAATAAATTACGAGGCAACGTTGAGAGTGTGCGACAACAGGTGTACATTAAGCATCAATCACAGTTTACGGAATTTCATTTAAAATGTTTCAAGACCGGGTGTGAAGTTCTGGGTTTCGCGACGTCTTGTTTATAGCTTACAACGGAAATTTCATTAGTTTCGTCGCTTAAGATAAAGTCTCGCCAGACAACAGAAGCTTGAACTGTGCGTAGACAATCACTGCAACGGTTCAAGATCACACCACTTGAAGTTTTCGTTGTATTGAATCTGACTACATGATTTTCTTTATACATGTCTTCACGAATACGCCGTCAACTACAAAAGCAGATCTTTACTGAGCTAAAATTGAAGAACTTTAAGGATTTTTTTTACCATTAAGACTTTTGCATCTGGATTAGGGCCCCAAGTTTACGAGTGCACCGACTGGCAAGACCATCGACATGAGGGTTCATTTAGATTCGTCTTCCGATGAGGAGGAACCCCTTTTTAACATGGAAGATGTCGAACAAAGAGCATTTGAGAAAGACAGGGACCTTCCTCTATGGAAACGATTTTTGATCACACTGAAAAAACTCGGAGAAGACAGGAACAGTTTGAAGTCTACGCTATGTTATTGTGGTGTGTTCATGGTATTTGGAATGTCAGATGAAATTTTGGGTCCAACTCTTCTTGAGCTCAAATGTTTAACTGGCAAATCGATAACTCTTATGAGCGTGCTTTTCTTTGTTCATGATTTGTGCAACGTTTTTGGATCGACATCCGGAGGATATTTAGTAGATCGGTAAGTACTGTTAGCTGTATGATTTAAGTAGACAGTTTTAGAAATGCCTTTTCGGCTCGCCCTCAGAGGTTGATGCATATCGCACGGTTTTAAAACCGTACCTGATACTTTCTGAAAAGGCAAAACCTCGGCATATATAAAGGAAATCTTAGAAAGCTAAGAGGTATTCTGCTGAAACTGAAATTTCGATTAGTAGCCTTGCAAGCATTTGACAGCAAAAATCGCATCAAAACGTAAAAGATCTTTAAAAAAAAAGATGTGAAACAAGCTAGAGTTGGCTGACTGAGTGGGAAATTTAAAGTGTACTCGTTTCTTCTTGTACTCACAGCATAATTTTCCACGATCTTCTCTCGTTTCGCATAAATACGTAATTATGCAAATATGGTTATCGCTCAAGTCATTGGTTTTAAAATGTATATCGGCATTTCTTGATAACGCTATGGTTTCAATGGAATATAATGACTCGAAATTCAAGTATACGAGTGTCAGATGTAATTTCAGTGTATTTTGCGCCAAAAGTTGCTTCAAAATTAAGAAAACATTGTTTTAGCGACTAGATTTTACGGCGTGAAAATCACAGTAGGGAATTATGACAATGAAAACTGATGAAAAGTATACAAACCTTATACAAAAACATTATAATTTTTTCACTCTTTTTTTTTTCCACGATGTGAATGCTGTTTAATAATACAGCAATTCCAGCCAATTTCCCGAGATTCGAAAGTTGTGGCAAAGGCTTCTGTTTGTCTCATGAGCGCGAATTAAACTTTTTAATAATTTACCATTATAATTCTCAGAATATTTCCTTTGTCTGATAAAATATCAAAGTTACTGAAAAACCTTATTCATAAGTGTACCAGAGTTATACTTCAATCTTGATACGAGTTAATTAAAACAGTATTTCACTCAGCTGTTGTAACTTTCAAGGGCTTAACACAATAGATTTACACGGCTAACTGTGCTGAACAAAACATCAAAGAGAATTCCTTAAAATTTTGAAATAGAAGACTGCCAAGACATGATCTCTGATTAGTTTAACGCCGAAAAAGTTCCAGCCCGTGATTAAAAATTTACGATTTCTGGAGCAATTTCTTATTAAAGAAACATAGACCACAATGATAAGGGAAAACATTTTTTCCTTTCAAAAACGCGACCGCAAACAAACCACATGACATTTTGAACTGTATTATTACCGAAATATCTGGACCTTCCACGAAACCGCTAGAATCTTTACCCCGGCTTGTAGACGCAAAAAGAATAAGCCTTTTCAAAGTTCACACCACATTGCCTGAATATTAAGAATCAAATAGAGAACAATAACAGACCCTTACGAGGAGATAAATCATATTTACTTGAGGAATTTCAGAGACAAACAATAACGTCTTAGAGCTTGCCTATTTTTAAGTGTATATGCTTTTTGTCAAGTCTGGCTTTATTAACGCTTTTAAGGACAAGCTTGAAATTACTTCAGAAAAGCTAATTACAGACATTGCTAATCAATGTACTTGACACCTGATAAAAACCGTGTCGGTTTCAAGACGGCGACGGCAGTTTAGCATTATTAACTGTTTCGGTTGTAGATTTATAATTATTGCAATTTCATCCAGCTACACCCAAAAACCAGATTATTAAAGAAAAATAGAAAATTGCACTGTTTCTTTATATGAATCCTTTTAAGCAAACAGAGAACCTCAAAAAAATCCAAAACCGAAGTTTGACCCCAAATAATCCTTTTGTCATTTGGAGGTCAATTGAGGCGCTTGCGTGACTTAATTCATTTTAGGCAGCGCGCAAACATTGATCGCTGTCAGGGAGCTGAAAGGAGCTGCCCTCAGTGAGTGCCAAGTATTGATATATATCTTTTTCAACAGATTTAATCCCAATGTCCTGGTGACGATAGCTCTCGGCCTCAGTGCCATTTGCATCATAGCCATTCCACTCAGTCATATCTTCGTCATCATGCTGTTTTTGGCGGGAATATTTGGCGGGTGTTTTGGCGCCACGGACACGTTTACAACAGTGCAGCTCATACGCATGTACGGCAAACAGGTTAGGCAATGAGACTTAAGACATAATTTGTCGTGAGACAGTATCGTCATGATTCTTTTACCACAACTGAACAAGCTTACCAGAGGGAGCTCACTTTATTTTTTTTAATACTCCCTCGCTCCACGCAAGTTTATATCTTATCACACAAAGGCGACGAAAACTTTTAAAACGTGGGGGCCAAATTTACAATCGGTCTCCATGTGGTTCTTTTGTACCTAAAATTCTCTGTGTAAGTTCAAAAGTGCCCGTTATATTCGCGATCGATTTGTGACAATGCATGATAAGCAGTTGCGTATTTTCATGAGTGAAGTAATAGAGAAAAACTGGAAGACGCAGCCGAAAAACTTTCGTCAGTTTATCATTTTGTACATTTTGTTTGGTCATTTTGGTCAGCTCGTCCGTCACCTCGCCTGTTTCTCGAAGCTTGAAACCAGTACGATGATTAAATGTTGCACTAGTTTTAATAATAATAAAAGTAATAATGATGATGATAATGATAATAATAATACTGATAATAATTTTAATACTTGATATTTCAATGGTGCAAATTAACATGTAGACATGATCAAATGGGCCCTGATTTTACTTTCTTTCCAACGTAATTATATACTCATTTTAACAAAGTTCTGTTGCTATTTGCAGGTCTCTCCCTATTTGCAGGTAAGATTCTAACAAACTTTCACTGACTTACGCTAATTACGGCTGTTAAGAACTGTCCAAGTAAAGAATTCTGTTAACCCTGACACCATAACATCAGTATGTATATTCTCCATACTGTTCTTTGTACATTTTCTTATGTGTTGACAACAAGCATTTGTTTAACAATCAAAAACTTCTCTAGTTTGTGATCATATCCTTTATTCTCGGGATCCTAATGTTTGATTCAGGGGTGCCTATTGTAAGGAGAAATTAGCTGTTGGTCACCCGTAAGGGTTAAAGGGCTAACTGGCTCAGTAAACTTTGAATATGGTCAAAACGGGCTCTCGAGTAAACCTAAGATGAAAAGAAGACTGGAAGAGAGATGAACGGTTCAAACAAAACATTTCTGAATTAAATATAGAGTAACTTAATCAATATCTGTAAAGAAAATGTACATTCAAGCCGTCTTTTTAGTAACACGTCCTTTGTCTTTCTCTGTGGAAAATTATGAAGCCCGCGACATTTCTTCAGCTTTGCCTTACTGACGATTTTTAAAAAGCTCAAACATGCCCACCAGTACATGGCTGTTAGCTTGGCAGCTCACTTTTTATCATTTTTATTTGGTAGAGAAAACCAAGTGTCACTGCCATTGAAACATTCATTGCACAGTTTGTAGTTTTTTATTGTCGCATTTACAATCAATTTTTTTATCATTCTTCGCTGACCTTCCAAATACTGATACCTTCCACTTCCCCCCCGGACAGGCTCTTCATTTTGCATATGGCTGCGGTGGATTCTTGAGCCCGCTGATAGCACAGCCTTTCCTGCGGCGTCGCTGTGTTCTAGTGGTGAACTACACGACTATTATCGATGAATGGCCTTATGCAAATTCTACTACTGGTATTGACAACTCTACACACATATTCCACACTCAGGAAGAGACACACCGTGATACGCATGTGCGTTGGGCTTACTGGATTGTAGCCCTGTTGCACGTAAGTACAACTTCTTACTAACCGGGAAAATTGGCTCAAGGTCGTGGCAGTACGGACCAAGCGCAGCGAGGTCCGTGGAAAAACGACTGAGGGGCCACTGTTTTTCCGTTCGGCTCGTGCAAGAGAGGTTAGTAGGGGACTCGGAACAAACTTGTTTATTTAGATTTTGCCTTTGAGAGAAAAAAGTACGTCTTACAAGTGTGACCGTTTCGGAGAAAACAGTTCGTATTGCAAAATCCCGGCCAAGTATGAACCAATCAGAACACTCGGATTTACGTCAAGACTGCCTTGCCATATGACAAAGGTACGTAAAAGGGAATTCTCCAGAAATAGCAATGTCCTAAGAATGTAATAAGTGCAGGGCTGCGCCTAATTACGAGTTGCAAAGGGAGACGTACTTAAAAGAAGCCAAGACGGTACCTTAAAAAAAAAAAAAAATCAGTCGTTTAAAAAGGTCCTACAAAACAATACATCCAGCAGTTAAGGAAGAACAGCTGTTGAACTATGAATTGGAAAGGCTCTGACTTGTCTATTTTAGCTTCCAGTTATATTTGGTTTGCTGTGGTTGATGTTTACTCGCAAGCTGGCAAAAATAACAGGAACTCTCAAGAAGTACGAATATGAGATGTACGATGAACAAAGACTCAATAATCCAGGTTACTGTTTTCATTATATTAATTTTAACATTAATTTTGAGCAAAATGTAAAACCACTTCCATGATTATTTGTATCAAAGCATTTTTCCAGTATTTTTGTACACTTATGAAAGACTCTCGCAAAGGGGAAGCATTATTTTCTTTGAATTTTTTTTTTTTACTTTGGAAATTGACTCTCTTGTTTAACTTTACTACATGTCGACGATTATTACTTTGATTTCTGCTTTTGTTTAGTTGACTAAAGCTATTTTATTCTAGGGTTTATCACGCTTTAGCTGTTGTAGAAAATTAAGCTATACAGGAAGATTAAAAGGCGCTCCCATTTGAAAAAAGAGACTATTGGAACCTCTGTCTCAGACGTGGTTGGCTGGGCTTTTGTCCTCACAAATTAAGAGCATGAAAGAGGGAGGAAAGAGTTTGTCCCTTTCCGACACCATTCAGCAATTATAAATGGTAAAACCAGTTCTTTATGACACCATTCAGCAATTATAAATGGTAAAATCAGTTCTTTATGATTATGTAGTCAATAACACGGTGATAAATTTCAACAGGTTACAACCATCACATGGTAACATTGTATTTAAACGGAAACCCTCCATGGTTAAAGGTCTTTGGAGACGATCAGAAACCGCGAGTTGTTGTCGTCACAGTTCTGACGTCACTGATTCTGCTTCTGTACGATGGTCTAATGGTAAGTTACGTATCTAAAAACGTCCCTCGAATAATAACGATAATAATTTCAAATTGGCCAAACGTATCTGCACGAGACAGATGAAAATAACGAGAACGATTTTTCTTTCACTTTACAACACGAGGTGCAGTTATGGATATATTTTTAAGACAATGAACGAAATTTATTGATTGAACATATGAAAAAGTAAAAAAATTCTTACACCATCTGTATAGAGCTGGACTTGTTGTATTGAAATCTTTAGCAGCTGCACTGCTTTCCAAGGAGGAAAACCATGCCTACTACTTGGAATTCTTTATTTCAGGTTCCTTTTTTTTTTTTCGGCAAACTGAAGTTAATAAACCTGTCTATTGGAGATATTTTCCACATTGTGGCTAATTATCTTGAATAGGTTAAAAAAATACTTTTTTTTTGTTCCTTTATTGATTGCCATCTTCAGTTTAAGGACGTTTAGTTAACGCTGGTGACTTTTCTTGTCAACTTCTCATCTCTTATGTTGAGTTACCGCTGACCATTATTATTTCTTCTTAGGCTACTTTTGGTGCCTATGTGTATTCATACGCCGTCAAAGGAGCAGTTCACATTAAACCGAGTCACGCAGCTTATCTCAATTCTCTCTTTTGGGTAAATATACGACAATATATTGAAAAAATAGATTTAATGTTGCTATGCGTATATTCAATAATAGAAAAAAATTTTTCTGGGTCCTATAACATGATAAAGCCACTTGGGATGTTGGGAGAACACGAGGGAAAGCTTAAAAAAAATGCGTTCTATTGCTTTTATTACTTTGCTAGTTAGAAGACGGCTCTATAACCTGATAAAGCACCCACTTGGAAACTGAATTGACCAATCAGACGATGCGTACTATGTTCATTATGTTATAGTCCCTAATAGATCCCAGATAGCATCAAAATGTGGCACGCAAGGCGCCACCGAGTGTCACTAATGTTCCTTTCTTTTACACACATAAAACTATTGGTGATGGTATTTTATTATGTTATAATATTTTATTATGTTATAATATTTTATTATGTTATTTTCATTATGTTATAGTCCCTAATAGATCCCAGATAGCATCAAAATGTG